ATATTTTTCAGACTTATGGACTTTGGGTGATGCATCAGTAGAGATAGTAAATGGTAGGGAAATAAAAGTATTTTATTTACTTTAATGAACAGTTGAGAAACATGAGTTTGTCAGTGGACCCAGAGGCTATTTGAAGGAAAATTTACTATTTGAAGGAATTTATACACATATTTATAATATATATATATGTGTGTGTGTGTGTGTGTGTGTGTGTGTGTATGTATGTATGTATGTATGTATGTAGTATGTGTGTGTAATGGAAAACTGTTTTGTGTTCTCAGCATGGAATTGAGAAATGACACTCAGGGAAGATTGCGGATGAGTTTATTTTTAGTTTGGGAATTTTCTATGGATGTGACTAAGCTTTGATGATAAGGCACATAAAATTTTGATTATGATTAACTCTTATAATCTTTATCCTTCACTCTATTCAACTTTAGTTAGGTTTCACAACGTATGACAGGATCTCAATTTCTTAACTTAGCATAAACTTTCACTTTGCTAGCAATCACAAGTAAAAGCTAAATTTTTCAATAGTCATGACTTCACTTTAGTTCACTCTCAAAATTCTCTACATTATTCCAGACTTATTATTCTTCATGAAACTGGAAAAACTTAATTACTGAAAGTCAAATATATAATTGATCCTAAATCCTTGCATAAGAAAAGAAGGTCCTTTTTTCAAAATCACATTAAATGGTTTTTTTTTCTTCTCTTCCTATACTGTGTTATTTTTTAGTTTTGTTGTAGGAAGCATGATTAAACATAAATCATAAAGCAATTTAATAAAACAAAACATCATCAACAAATTGCTTGATTTTGCTTTGCCTCTATATCATCTTTTGAATGAGTAGAAAAATGAGTAAACTACTTTAATGATAATCAGCAATTCTCATTTATCTAAGCATGAATGATTTGTGCTAATATAAAATTTTTCTTTAGTATACAATAGTTCTCCCACAGAGTCAGGTCATTTTGGAAGAAGAATTGCTTATAGTAGAAGGACAATAATCACCTCCTTGAATTTTTATGACTTAAAACAGGGTATGAGACACAATGCCTCCAAGATATGTGAGTTATTTGAATATCAGTTTATGATAATATCTTCTAAATCCAAGCACCAATAGCCTTTCGGATAATTTGTTCTGCGATCCACACCCAGGAGAGCTGGCTTACACGCATTATGCTTTTGTCTAGAGTTTCAAGGACTTATTTTCCTTAATCTTGTTTATAGATTTGACTTTTGGTTACTTACTTGATTCAGGTCAAGTGGGAAGGATTCATGATAAGGCGAAGAATAGCCTCTGGTTCTGCTGACAATCTCCTTGTCAGGAGCCCAGTTGCGTTATCATTTCTTTGTCACAACTGTATGCATTGTTAGAAAATGTTTCCATTATAGAGAATATGCATCTGTAAGTAGCATTTCTAGCTTATTTAGTAACACTTGACCTCTGTTAATTAACTAAGTAAATAATGGGATTAATGGCCTATCAAATTCAGATCAGAACAGTAAGGGATTTCCTTTTTCCATCTCTGTATTTTCTTCCTGTCAGATGCATCACCTGGAAGATGTCAATGCCATCCTTGAATTTCAATAACCTTTCTTCTGGGACAAATGACATTAACTAAAACTAATTTTAAAAGAAAGAAATTCAACAAAGTTTAAAAGTACTCCATCAAAAAGGAGAACTAGTGTATCAATCCAGAATCAGAAAACACTCCCCAAATGTACGAATGGCTGTTTTCTAAGAAATGATGATCTTAATTTACATAAATAGTATCTGAACAGTTAAAGATTATTCTAGGATAAACAAAACTTATTTCCAGTTTAGGGGATGGCTCTCAGTTAATTTTGCTCTTTCTATAAATGCTTAATAATAAGGAAATATAGAAGAAACCAACATCTATATTTTTACTCTTAAGTCAATAGGGCCCAAATAGATACACTATGAAGAAAATAATCACAAAATGACTGACTGTTTCAAAAATCAGGGGCTTAGCTTAGAAATACTGAAGGTTAAGATCTCTAACTCATGTTTTGGATTTATTTTAAAGAATTGATTTAAACTTACATTTGCTGGCTATACAAGATACAAACATCTTCTCTGCTCAGAGAAGACCTAAGGAAATCAATTAAAATTCATCTTAAATAATCAAATATTTGAGCATCAGAATGAAGTGTAGGACCCTCAGAAGCAGCAAGTTGAAATTACACTAAAGAACTGGATGGATATTTGAATCCATAATATATCATTCAGAGCCCAAGGGGCGATTGATGAATAACAGGCAATACCAAACATCACACATGTCCAAGTCTGGAAGTTCATTCTCTCCCCCAGCTTGGCTAACATATTCACATTTTCAACTGTGTTTTTACAAACTAGAATACTGTTATCCCCAGAACCCCACCAGAAAAAATAATAGAGAGAGAAGGATGAAACCTAAACACTAGGGGAAATGCATTTTTTTTCATTTTATTACGAGTTCTAATAGAACGTTTGTTAAACATAGAGCACGTGAACACACGACAGTTTCCTTTGTTTGTTCTCATATGTAGCTGATAGAGGAATACTTGGGAGGAATGTTCCTAAAGCCATAGATAGCTTCTTTTGCATTTATTTCATTTTAAAAATATGACAAAGCATTAGAGGAAAAAAAATTGTGAGAATATCAAATATTACCCATCAATCCCTGAATCATGCTATTCAAAGTGCTTAAATCTACACTAAAAATAGAACGAAAAATGTACTCCCAATGCAGCTAAATTAACACCTATGGATGCCTAAAATATGACTGTGATCTGATTACTTCCTCTACATTTATTCCACACTTCCATCGTGCACTTAAGAAGAGAAATAAGAAAATAAAACCCAAAGACATAAAGCAGGCCATTGCCACGTTTCCACTTTTCTGAGTACTGGGGGAGTTTGGTATCCAGTCCAGTGAGCTTCACTGCCAACAGTTCCTGACAGGTGTCCATAGTTCAAAGTAAACAATGGCCTTCTCGGATTCTAAAAAGAGCCCAATGTGCAAAGCTGAACTTAAAGTTTTACACGTCCTCGCAGCTTTACTTCTGGTTTGTGAAAATATGACAGAAATCCAAGGGGAGCACAGGAATAAAGACAGATTGTAGAGAAAAGACTGAGGCAAGTTGTCAGGGGAGTAAAAAATTGTAAGTGAATAAAAATTAATGTACATCTCAAGGCTCCTTTACCTTGTCCCACACATGCTGAAACCTTTTCATTGTCACAAAATGCTTACACTCATTTCTCAGATATTTGCATCTCTGTCTTATCCCCCAGTGAATTCTATTGCAGTTTATACCTTTTCTTTTTGTGGCCAGCTCACACCTTAGCACTGGAGCAGCACTGTAGAATTGTTTTCTCTTTATATAGTGGTAGGAATAAAGCAAACATACAGTAGCCACTACACGAACCCACAGGGGATAACTGTGATGGATGGTTCCTACAATGAATCATTAAAGTAATGAATAAGTTCTATCATCAGTGTTTTTGTCACATTATTTTTTTAAACTAAAAGCTACATAGGTAATATTTCCTTTTAACAACTCTGCCCTCCCCAGGTTCCTTTGTTATTGATTTTGTTTTGTTCTTAACATGAATATGAATGAGCTGCTTATGTCATTGTTTTCAAACATAAAGCTACATAGTAAGTGATGGATGTCCTGGGATCATCAGCTTTCTCTTTCTGAAAGATAGAATCACATAGTTAAAAAATTAATTCTTTATACAGTAAAATTAACTATTTTAAATGCTTTCTGAGCTAATTTAAAAGCTATTTTGTGCAAATAATATTTATTTTGAAAATACTGATCTCTGTTGGTATTCATATGTTTGACCTCCTGAATTCTTAAACACCTTGATATTAATAAGTGTTGCTTATGTGCACAGACTGAACAAAACACCTAATTCTGAATGTAGCCTTAAAAATTAAATACAAGCGAGTTAACATTTAAATACAAGGGGACTCCACAATAAGTTTCACAGATTTTCTCTGACTCTTTAGAAAATAACATTTCGTATAATACAAGATGACAAAACATATTTGATGACGCACCCTATTCTTCCCTTTGCTTTGGAAGCCTTCTGTGTAAATTTCTTTTGACTTTCCTTGGTTCCCCCCTTTGAGTTAACTTGCCTGGCATTTGCACATAATCTCATTTGCAGAAAAATTATAGAGGGAAAAGAGGAAGTAGAATATCAAACAAAAATAGCCACAAACACATTCATGCCTTTCCAGGAAGTGATCAAATATAGGGCTTGATTATTTTTGTTTTGTTTTGTTTTTTCTCTTTTTTTCTGTTTTTTTCTGTTTTTTTGTTGTTTTACATATATTAATTTGAAAAACGGAAATAACACTCTCCCCCATTTTCGTGCCCTTGATCTTCTCTTGTTAGCACTCTCTAGTGGTCACTGTCAAGTGACTAGCACACCTTTGGGTCTAGAGTGTATTCTGAAGAGAAGTGAATTCAATGTTAAGACAGTTCGATCCACCCCGCCCCTCTGCAGAGTGTACACATCATGCTGCCATTAGAAGGGTGGAGGTGGGGAATGAGGTGGGACAAGGAAGATTCAGGGCTCTTCTTTCTTTCGCTCTCTTTCTCTCTCACTGTCTCTTCTTTTCAAATGGCAATACTGGCATCGTTGCACTGCTCTTTGTAGGCCGATGTGGCCCAGTGGATCGTAGGCAGAACCCGAGAGAGGATCCGGTGCTCCTTGTCCCATCAGATAGGTTTGTCCAAGCACCCCAAGGAAATGTTAAAAGTGAAATAAAAGTTTTTAAAAAAGGAAATAAAAACCCATTCTAAAACTAAACTAATGAAGCCAAAAAAAATGTTTTCTATCTACACATCAAGTCTCTTCTTTTAAAAAATGTAAGTTTACAAATTCCAATGACATATAAAACAAAGTCAAAAAAAATGTAATGGTAAGAGACATGGTAAAACAGGAAGACACTGATGCTACAAAGAAATTCCAAAAAACATATGTACAAGACCCTGTTTTTCCTCGTGTTCTAGAGATTGTAATGCGTGTTTTTAACAGCAGCAGTCGAGGATTTAGTTCCAGGCACTGGACTGCAGATTCCACTCAAACTCCCACGGGTGGGATGTCCCTTGCTTTTCTGTCACCATATCACACTGGATATACTGGTCTCCCTTGGCAACAGTGGCAGGATGGCACTGTTTGTGTGGGCCTCATCCGGATTCTGCTCTCTGCCCGATTTTGTCTGGGGCCGCTGCCCATTGATGAGCGTCATAGGGATGTTACAGTAGGTATGCTGATTTCCTATGGAGGTAAGAGGCAGGGTGCCGGTAGGAGGTACGTCATACTCGTAGCTTCGGTAGTAGTGTTTCTGACGCATTTGGGAATGGTAAGTGTTGTGAAAGGTAGAACGGAGATCTGGATGGGCAGTGGCTAGAGCTGTGGAGGTGGCCGCAGCCATGGAAATGGCTGAGACAGTCTGCAGCTCCCCAAAAGGCCCCTGCTCGCTGACTTCTAAAGCCTGCTCATGTGTAATGGGTTCTATCCGCTTAAAAGGCATTTCGTACTGTAAACGTTTCCAGAATTTAGAGTTCAACTTGTTGCATTTTGGTCCATGCCATTTAATGACCGTCAGGAGCTTGATGGTGTGCTTGAGGGCCTCCACCTCTTGGTAGTTCATAATGCCTCGGAGTTCACTGCATTCGATTAAGATCACCTTAATCTCTCCAGTCACAAGCATGTTTCGAAGTCTGGTCTCCAGTTCAAAGATGCTCCAGCCTCTTCTAACCACATAATTTGGAGTCATAACAATAATCAGCCGCTTGCTTTGATCTACACATCTTGCCACATCTTCAATGTATGCTACAAAAAAAAAAAAAGTGATAGAATGAGTGAAAGCCCCTGTAGATTCTCTCACATTAAATGACAATTGCTCTTTGTTGACTAATACTTTAAGGACCTGAAAACAGGCAATGATCACTTTTAATAGACTTTGGGCCTTGTTTTTTCTAATGTGAGAAATACTTTCCCCAGGTACAAATATTTCATTTGATCCCTGTAAGTGTCAAGTTCCATAGAATGAGATACTTTATGGAATAAGGAAGCATCTTCTCTGGAGTATTGACAAATTTCATATGAACACACAAAGACATCTTCTTGTGAAACTAAGGGGCACAACTGTAGAAGTATAGAACCAAAAATTAAAATTATATGTAAAACATGAAGACAACACACACACAAATATGCAAATAAATATGGCAAATATAGCTTTGACTTACTTCCAGTTGGGATTAAATCTCTATCGGGTATAAACAACTTGTATCCATAATGCTTTTCAAGCATATCAGGGAGGATTTCAAGGGCAAAACGTTCTTCTTCCCCAGTCTCTTGATTCCACTGGTCAGGATCCACTTTGGTGTACGATAAGTAGGCATCATAATCTTTATTGTCTATTAAAAATATTACAGTGTAAAGTTGAGCTTATTGTTTATAAAGAAAAATTAGGAAATGAAAACATTCATATTTTACTTCATGAACATTTCTGGGATATAAAACAGAGGCTTTCGTTACTTTAAATTGAATGTTCAATAATGCCAAATATTTTGGAAGTAGCTGGAAGGTATACAGGTCTCACATTTTCATTTATTTTGTTGTAAAAATAGTAAGGGAAGAATCAGGGATGACAGTGATGATGGCTGGGGGAGCAGTTTAGGAGTAGAGAATGTACTTAGCATGTTCGAGGCTCAGAGCCATCCTTAGCAATACAAAAATAAAACAAAAAGCAATGAAATACTGACTTCTACCATTTTAATTCACAGATCATAAGGAGTCATTATTCTTTATAAAGGTGACATGTTTGAACAGTAATATACTCTTACTACCAATAGTAAATTCAACCAATCTTGTCTTTGGCCATTTGTTTGTTTGCTGTTGTTTGTTTGTTTGCTGTTGTTGTTAGAAAAAAGAGAGAAAATTGGACTTCGATTGATGGTGCAGAAAAGATTTTTGAGGAAACTGGATCTCACTATGTTGCCAAGGCTGACCTCAGATTCTTGAACTCAACAGATTCTCCTGCCTCAGTATTTCAAGTACTTGAGACTATAAGTACATGCCACTACACCCAGTTCTCTCATTTTATAGAGATTAATAGTTAGCCATGTCACAGACTTCCATGTTCTTGGACACTGTGAACCCATCCTTGCTTTTTAATTTTAGACAGGGTTGCTCTTGATAAGAGAGACTGGAACTCCTGAGCTGAATGGATCTTCCTGCCTCCAGTGTAGCTGGGACTACAGGCGTGTTCTACTGAGCTTGGTTTGAGAAGTAATTTTAAATTGTGTGTACTGTGCTGACTTTCTGTTAGGAGAGAGTAAAACCCAACTTGGAATGATTAAGTTTTCATTGAGACTTAGTTCTTGAATTTGGGGTCTTTAACAATGAGTATAAAAAACATACTGTTTTAACAATCTCTATATCACACATAAAATAATGCCAAAGTATTTCTCAGTGTGATCTATTTGGTAATAAGAATAAAACAATCTAATATAAATTGAAACAGTGCTAAAATCTGGTGTCTCTCTACTCTTTACCCTGTTCATATGAGAAATCACATATTCTACAAATATTATTATATGTTCTCTTTATCATAACTTTTTGAACACAGCATCTCAAATTTCTTATTGGTTGTTTCTAGCAATAAAAAAAATTCACTTATTGGGCCGGGGATTTAGCTCAATGTTTCTGCCACCTGATTTGCAAGTACAAGAAACTGAGTTTGATCTCCGGTACCAAAAAAAAGAAAAAAAGAAAAAAAGAAAAAAAAATCACTTATCTTCTGGTCTCTTGTTTGTCAATTTAATATTTAGAATATAATATCATGGTTTATAGTTCAATTCTAAATACTGCTGATATGGTTAGTCTAACAAAACCAAAATGTATAACTCTTTTCCATTGTGATCATCAATGTAATACACAATTATTAGATCAAGTTGAACTGAAACCCTCTTGGATTTTAGAATAAGATGAACTTGGCATTAGATATAAAAATCCATGAGGGGGCCAGGGATTTAGCTCAGGGATTCTGCTGCCTGCCTCGCAAGCACAAGGTCCCAAGTACAATCCCTGGTACAAAAAAAAAAAAATCTATGAGGTACTTGCAAGCAGAATATGCTGGCAGAGATTACCTTTGCAAGTACTTATAGCACCATTCTCAAATAAATGGGACATTTGTTTGATACCTAGTTTCTGTCTGTTCCCAAAGTCTATGCCAGTGCAGTAATCTCTTGGGCATTTATTTACCACTGGGAGCAAAGCAATGATTGACAATACAGACTACAAAAACAGTAGCACATACCCCTGTGAAAAAATTCAGCAATGTTTTCTGACTCAAAATCATATGGATTCTAAGGTCTCTCTTTTTTTCCCAATTGCTAACTGAATATATATAT